TATCCAGAATTCTGATGAAATGAGTCACCACGCTGCGAAATATGATTACAGATTTATCATAAAGATAGATAATGAGCTCATTGTCTGCCGCCAACCAAATTACCACCGGGTGACATCACCCCCCCGACAACATTATGAATAGCAACCTGAAAATAGTATCAATAAAATATAAATGCCTTTAAATGAATAATAGAGGAGTTCTCAGTGGAAGAGGCGAGCATGCAAGAATTAACTAAGTCATAATTTTCTTCTCAAGTAAGATGAATCGAAAGCCGTGAGGCAAACCATGCTGCGCGGAGCTGGCTACGCACCACACTTAATCAAATAAAATGGAAAATTCTCTTCAAAAAAACCACCAGTCATAACTCAAATGCCTCACGGAGTCAGGTTCGGGGGTTGCGAGCAACAGTGCTGGTTGGGAGGCTATAAATCACAGTGACAGGGGGATGGTCTGGTGTTCCTTCAGGAGCGACTGCCAACAAAGCTCCACTTGAACAACAGAAGGACGCACACATGCATAGTAAAGCCGTCTTCACGCAGAAAAAAAAGCTTCTGGATTCGGAGCTGCAGGCGCGAACGTGTGACCGAGAGGTTGCTGATGAAAACTCGTGAGGATTGTCGTCACCTCCTGTGGCGTCTGCAGTCGGTGTGTCCTGATGGGAAACACTGGAGCTGTTCAGTGGCCGTCTGCAGACAGAAGTCCTCCAGGTGTTTTAATTCATACAGTATGAGAGATTAGCATGAAGGTTTTGCGGTTGCTTTGATCTAAATAGGAAAGTGGAGAAAGTCTGAAGCTTTAGCAGGTTTTTATTTGCAGTCCTGAGGCACTAAAAGCAAGAAAATCTGAATGAATCGTTGTGATATCTGCACTGAGGGGTGTTTGGTTTGATAAAGGTGTATTGGAACAGGGCAAGGACACATTAGTGCGCATGTTGTCTCGTCAGTACGGGTTTATAAAAGTTGCCCCTTTACCATGAAAGTAACGGCCAAAGCTCATCCACATGTTAACTGTGTGGAAGTTAGTTTGTGATCATTTCTTGATCGACACTGAAGGCACTTCTGCATTAACTCGAGGGGGCAAAATAAAGTTTTATTAAAATGTAGCTGTAGGATGTAAAAGGTTTAATAAAATTAGCAAACCTGGAGCAAGGTGGTGCCTTCGATAAAATATAATTATAATGCAACATGGACCCAAAGTGAGGAGGAAAGAAGTGGTCGACGGGGACTCAAGGTTATTTTTAGTGCAGCTTAAACTGGTCACGATAAAGAGAAAATGAAAACGCATCGGCGAGTTTGTAATAAGACAGTGCAAATAAATAAAGTCCTATATACACATGCATAGAGGAACAAATGCACCCACTGTCCACCGTGTCTCCACAGGTACAGTCCACACTGCAGATTACAAATGGTAGCTTTGTGCTATTTTGCCCAGAGGTGCAGAAACAAACCAGGACTCTTCTGGAAGGATACTATTAATAATGTCACTGACCCACAGCGGACCATAGGATCTGGGGCTCAACTTTGCCCAGGTTTAATCCAGCTTTCTCTGCACCTGAGCTCAGACCTGCTTGTTTTTATCTGACTTTACAGACTTCAGCCACATGCATTCAAAGGACCTCCTCCTACACTTTTCTAGCGGTTTATCCATGTTCTGAAGTGTCCGTGGGCAAGACGCTGAACCTGAAATTGCTCCAGATGGCAGGCAGCACCTTGCATGGGCAGCTTTGTCGCCACTGGTGTATGAATGTGTGTTAATGAGAAACACATTGTAAAGAGCTTTGAGCACCACTCAAAGTAGAAAGGCCTTATATAATTGCAGACCATTTAACATTTACCAGTTTAAAACAGTGTGAAGAACCGAGTTAAGGTCTGTACCACGAGTGGACCTTTTTGAAAAACTGCTGACATTTCTCATTGTGCCTGCATTTTGTTTTGTCCTTTACATACAGTAAATAAAGGCATTTCAAACACAAACTCATGCATAAAAAAATCCCCAGAATGCAGTAAATAAATGTTTGATGCTCCAGTGGGTGGACCACCTCCAATGTTTAAATAAAATCCACGTTTCTAAGCGCATATAGAAACAACAGAAACTTTACAACAAGAGGAGCAACGAGCTGGTGCTAAGTCACTGTTCATTCATTCTCATTGAACTCCACAGATTTGGTAACACATCTTTTAAATACAAAAATTTCAAGGATATAGCAGAATATTGTTTAACAAAACCTACAATCTCCAGGGCTGTACAGCTTCATTTCCATTTAATCCGTTACTTCCAGGAGCCCCTTAAAAATCACTTCTTACCACACAGTAAAAACGATGAAACCTTTCATCAGGGAATCTCACAAACACTAAATATTTATGTGTATTCAGTGACCTTCAGGTAAACTCAGCGTCCCTCCTTTAAGCCATTAACCTCCATTAAAACAGGCTCCTTCATATCCTTCTAACCCAGAGGGCTCAGCTGTGAGCCGGTAGCCAAAAGACGTCCCCAGACAGACAATAGAGAGCCGCTCGCACTAATCCAGCAGCGCCGCCGTCTTCCTGTTCGGACCCCCACAGGAGGGAAGTGAGGGTCTGCTCTTATTGCGAGGGGCATTGTGAGTCTTCCTCTATGAGTTCCTGTCCTGGACAATGGGACAGCGCTGGACTGCAGTCACGCCTTAGTACAGTATCTGAGGGGGCGATCCCACCTACGACGGGGTTTTCTTTGGTCCAAACCATATGAGGAAAAACAGAACAATGTTTACGCTTTTCAAATCCCAATTATAAGCGAGGCTGCGCTAATAAGCACCTAAAGTTCTGCTGACCTGTGATTCTGTCCGATCTGATAGTTTAGTGCCGAGAGGAATACAAACAAATCAGATTGTAGTTCCTGTAATTTTAGCTAAACATGCATTCTTCTCCAGGGGCGTTCAAGAATGCAGGAAAGAAAAAACAAAAAGACTGAATTTGTTCTGACAAGCTGCTTTTCAAAAGTGATTTCTGCTTGTAAAAAGTGTTCTGCTTTACACTGTCCTTCAGCTTCTGTAATTAAAAAAAGAATTATGTTGTATTTAATTAAATCTTTAAGGTCAGAGCTGCATACATGAAAGATGCTGTACAAATAAAGCATTATTACATTAAAAAGACTTTTAAAAGAAAATTGTTTCAACTGGCGACAAATGAAGAAAGTTTATCCAGATCAGGTCAGCAAGTCGTATTCCTGCCACTGGTTTGAGTTTAATCATGTTATTCCTCTCAGATGAACATTGCTGGAACTTAATTTTAAGTTAAGTCAACTTTAAGTTTCCAGTTCTTCCAAGTTAAGAATTTGTTTAACCTGACCGTACAACGTAAGACGTGATTTTATCGTGTTGTCTTTACTCTGTAATCCTACTGACAGAGGATGGTTGCAGCAAAATATATTTGAGGAAATGTGAGAGAGATGCACAATATTAAAAGAGTAGTAGGTTTACTACTTTTCTACTACTTTACAACAAAAACACCAGTTTAAAAGGTACAAAATGGAATCTGAAGTTGCTAAAATCCACAAAAGTAAACCTCGTTCACCAGCTCAGGAAGATACTACGACTACAGCTCAAACACACTTTGTGTACTGAAAGTTTTGGACCTACAGACCAGATCTGTTTCACTATATGCTGCAAAAACCAGCAGAAATGTCGAGCTGTCAGTGTGACAAAGCTAGAAAACCAAATGCACTCTGGCCAACCTGTTCTCATTCCAACAGCATGAAATATGACAGTCACTTCCTTTTTGGTTAAGTTGATGAAAAGATCAGAGTTTGGGCTAAAATACATTCTTTCACAAGACTAGACGAACCTTGCAGAAAAGAAGTGACGGTGACAACATCAAATGGAACATCTGACTACAGATTCACAGCGTCTGTTTCCGACGTCCGTGGTTTTCTCAATCCAGCTATCCTGTGTGTTGAAGACTGATGCCAACTGTTGTGTTCAACTGTGATGCCAAGTGGTCCTGACAAAGCAAGAGTAAGTGAAGAGTCGGCAGTGAGCTCAGTCTCCCCTGTGTGTGAATATCTGAAAGTTGAATGTAGAGCAGCATCTGCCACAGAGCAACCAAACTGCAAGTGTCACATCTAAACGAAGGCGGCCACAACGTAAGAATAAACAAGACAAACATGCACACACATTATAAGTGCATATAGATGGAAATAAACATCTATTTTACAACGTTTCCATTTAATATTGGCACCTTGTTGGTTTTCCTTGCAAACAAAGCACCTCGCAGGCTATTTATGAGCTTCACAGCTCAACTGTTTGGTGTCATCTGAGCACTAATTGTGTTATTCTCACCAGTTTACGCTGAATTATATATAGAACAAGTGTTTCACAGTGCTAATGGAGTAAGTACAATATGCTGGAATGCAGTCTGAATGGAGTCAAACACAACGACAGCTCTGCCTTCTGAACCCTGTTCAGTGGTCACTTCAGCAAACTTGCTAAAAGACAAGAAATCCAACACCTTTCATTCCTACATTCAGTTATTGCAGGCTGCTATGTCAGATTTCTCAATGAAGACAAGAAATGTCAACTGTGCCGGAGAGGCAGGCTGCGATAAATAATGCAAGTAAGCTTATTTTTTTCTGTTCGGTGTCCCCGTAACGTGCAGAGAAACGGTGCAAATGAGTGAACAATATTCAGACCAGATGTGAGCGAGATCTCAGTGGTTCAAGTCAAGTTCGAATCGAGGAGCTCCGGTTTTCCCACCAGGAAATGAGGACACTTTCACTTTGAGATCAGACTCTGTGTGACATAACGTCAGTTCTTCAATTCGACTGTTTAACTTGAACAGAAGCATATTTTAGTAATGACTGTAAGGCTGGAATTCTCCAGTTCATGTGCAACTACTTCTAATAATTCCAATATGTATTTAATGTCATTTAAACCCAGAAGTGGCCTGTTATTGTTACTGAACCACACCGGCCCTTGTTGAAGCTTCTGATGTCACTAAATAAGAGTTCATGCGGTATTCCTGACCTGGATCCACTCCCTCATGGTGTCGTCTGAGGGCGTCCAGCCGTTTTCCTGGTAGTGGAGACGTGAGCGTTCAGGTGACCAGTTGGAGTTGTACTGGGAGGAGGCGCTGATCTGTTCTGAGGAAATTTCCCCCGACTCCATGCCCAGTGGCTCCATACAAGCAAATTCTGCAAAAGACACGAAGATTTTAGATAAAACATCTCAGGTGGAAATTAAGTTTTTCTGGCATCAAAAAAACCTCCAAAAAGGAGCAAATCATCAAACTACTGAGAGCTGTATGAATGGCAGTGTTCATAAATTACTATCAGGTCACAAAAGGGAAATGTTTGTTTGTCAAAGTCATATTAACTGTCCCTTTAATGTGAGTTTACAAATTGTATTATTCACATCATTAGCTGGATGAAGTGAATTTTGGCGTTTGGCTCTTTGTGCTGTCATTGCTAATGGCTGAATTTATCATTAACCAAAACAGAACTGGGCTCCTTGAGTTACACTCATAAATCTGCACTGGGAAAAGAAAAAAACCAAAAATAAAAACAGCTAATTCTGTCTCTGAGTCAGGCAGGAAAACAAGTGAGCAGCGTGATGACTGACGGTGTGAAGAGGAGTCAAGTCGAGGTCAATCCAAAGAGCTACAGTGGTGACGACACAACGCAACACACAAGTCTGTACAGGACATCAGGCAATTTAAAGGGCCTTACATAAAACACCAAAAGCACCGAGGTAATGCGTAAAATAAACATGAAGCAATATAAAGACGACATTTCAACACAATTAATAGCGTTTAACAGAGAAAAAAGTAAGAAAAATATTCAGAAGCCACAGATTTGGTTCAATGAAAAGTAGATAAACTGAAAAGTCTTCTGGGAGTTTGTTCCAGATTTGTGGTGCATAAGAACTAAAATGTTTGTGTTTGATTTTTGGGGACAGAAAGTCGAGCTGAGAAGGTTCAAGGTGAACCAGTGCAGTCACTGTCTGATCGGCTGATGTTTATATTCTGGTTTCTGCAAGAGAACTTGAAGTGGACCAAATAACTAAAGAGCCAAAAAACACCCATTTTTTCCCACATTTCTGTCGCGATATGAGATGTTTATAACTAGTTCACTTTGTAGACGTGATACGAGCGATTCCAGGAGACTCGGGTGAAGTAGTTTGTGTAGGGTGAGCAGTTCGGCTTTATCTCCGTGTCTGGAGATCTCTTCCTTATCGGTGAAGTCTGGATGGTTCATGAAGTAGCAACAGACCAGAACCCTATTCTGGCCCTAAACTATTCAGTGCTTTATAACCCAACAGCAATATTCTAAAATCAGTCCTTTGGCAGACAGGAAGTCGGTGTAAAGACCTCAAACTGGACCGATGTGATGCCCCTTTCTGGTCTGAGTGAGGACGCTGTCAGAGCAGTCGACTTGACTGAAGACAAATGCCTGGATGAGGTTTTCCAAAGTCCTGTAGAGACACACAACCTTTAATTCCTGATATATTCTCGACGCTGCCGAATCCTGACTCTGTAATTATTCTAATGTGGCTGCTGAGATTCATGTCCGAGTCCGGGATCGCACCAAGTCGGCATCCCACCAAAAACCAAAAACGAGTCAATGAATTTCACTTAAATCCATTTCTTTGAAAAACTACTCTTGCTTTGCTCCGGGCAGGGCCACGATTAGCAACGATCTAAACCCCCTCAGCCCTTCAATCAATTACTTTTTATGTAGTTTGTGAGTTATTTTGTTAAACTGTATTTTCCTACTATGCCCCATGTGCTTGGAGTCATCTGTAGAGAGATCTTAGATTAGAAACACTCATATCAATTAATACATTTAAGGGCATCATAATGGACATGATTGTTTTTCTTGAGAGGTCCACTGTGTTCTAATCGTTGTCCTTGTTGTTTTATTTGTATTTGTTGCATCTTAATATGTTGTGATTGGCTACTGCCTTGGCCAGGTCTCTCTTGTAAAAGAGATTTTGAATCTTCATGGGACTTCCTGGTTAAATAAAGGTTAAATAATCAAATAAAACTAATAAAACGTACGACAATCATGGAAAGTGGGAGGTGATATTGCTTATGTTCCCTTAAACAAAGCAAAATCCAAAGATAAATACACTGAGAATAACAGAAAACTGAGAAGTAATCCTCACATTTGGAAATCTGAATGTCGCCAGTGTCTACATTTGAGTTAAAATAAGCGATTAAGAATTAGCCAGCAATCAAATCTGCCAAGCCAAGCTTTATTTTTTATTTTTTTGGCGCTGCAGAAATCAGTCAATTAAACAATTAAGCGTATCATCACAAAAAACAAGACATGTCCTCTGATTTCAGCTTCTAAAAATGAGAGATTTGCTGCTTTTTCTTTGTCATTTATGGCAGCAAAGTGAATTAATTTGGGGTTTTAAATGTTGACTCCATAGATTTTACTAAACAGAAGCATCTTTAGATTAACTGATGGTGAAAATAATGTTTAATTGCCGCCCTGCTCTGTGTGCATGCTCGCACATCAACAGATATAAATACACGCTAACCCAC